GGATCCCGATTCAGTTAAATCGACTCTGCAAACTCTAGCATATGGAAATGTAATGGGTACAACTGCTCGTGATTATCAGAAGGTATTTCTCTTTCTATACTATCAAATGTGTATGTCATGAAGTTCAAATTTTCTTACAATGTTCATTTTACCTTTTTTTTCAAACACTAGATTTCATTGTAGGGTTTGTAAATTGAGATTCCAAATACACTTATGATAGCAAATTGTGAAATTGTTAAACCAAGAGTTGCAGCTGCAGAACACATAGCACAGGTAACTCCATAATAACTCCTAATTTTGGCAACATATTTTCATTTATTAATGTTTTATAAAATCCTACTTTCGTTTCTTTCTATAACAACATTCTACTGTTGCTATTGCTGTAGTTCAATCTTCAATATACATGTTTTTTTATACTCAGGGATTGTAACTGAAAACGAAAGAGATGAAAGAAAACTGGAGAAGTTATCTTTGAGAAAACAGTTGAGATTGAAAAGTCAACAACAGCAAGGTTTGACTTTGACTCCAGTGTGTGATACTGATGCTGAATATCTGTATAATCACTTATACATGTTTGATCTTGGTATGTAAATTTTAATGTAACAAAAGTATCAAGTTTTGTTTTATTTTTTTTTATGATATGTTATTTCTTGATATTTCCAACATTTGTGCAGAAACTTTTAATGTCTTTTTTATAATAGAGTTGGCAAGAGGACTACTGAAGGGATTCTTAAAGACAGATGGAATGCCTTAATACGATACTACCTCAACAATTTTGTGGATGGAACAAAACAGGTAGATTTTTCTTTGGAAAAAAAATAAATATAATTGTTTTATAAATTAAAAAGTAATTCATTATTTGTTCCGGACTATGAGATTCATTATTGAATCTTGATAGTTATGGTATGCATTTTGTGTAATCAGTAATCACACAGTGTAATTTGACTTCTTTTTGCCTCATTTGTCACTGCTTTGCTCTCTCGCGTCACTTGGTCTCTACCTCATTTTTAATGGATTTATCTATATATAAAAAGGAAAAAAATATCATACTTATTATTTCCCATTCATACGTTCAAAATGCAATTGAGTATCTCAAGATTATTGGTGCTTTAGTTTAGAACAAAGATCTAACTGTACTTGGTATATTTTTTTTTATATTCCAAAACTCTTATAATAAAAAAAGGTAGTTATTTTTTTATATTCCATGTTTGAGCTGATTTTGGGAGCAATTCTTATTTGCCATGATCCAATACTCACAGTTGTTGCAGTGTCAGAGATCCTTTTTTAGCGCCTTTAGATAAAAAAGATGTAAGTCACTTTTTATAATAATAATTTATATTTTATGAAAATAATGGGTCTTTTTGTACAGCTAGCAGAGGCGGCGAAAGCACAATTTTTGCGAGATCATAGTGACCATTTTGCCCTTGTGAGGGCGTATGAGGGTTGGAAAGTGGCTGAACATGCACTTGGTGGATATGAATATTGTTGGAAGAATTTTCTGTCTGCTCGGTCCATGAAAGCTATTGATTCTTTGAGAAGAGTTTTTTTTTTTAATCTTTGCTTAAAGATACTGGTCTTGTCGAGGGCAATATGGTCATTTTCAATGCTTGGAGTTATGACGAAAATCTCATTCGTTTAGTTATCTGCTATGGATTGTATCCCGGAATTTCCTCCGTTATCGTAAGTTCTTTTTAAAAAAAAAAAATTAATTTCTTTATAAATAATAACTTTGCTTTTGTTGACATCAGCATAATGAAAAGTCATTCTCGCTGAAAACCATGGAGGATGGTCAGGTGCTTTTACACTCGGTAGGTTCGTTTATCTAAATTCTAATAGTTTTATATATATATATATATATATATATATATATATATATATATATATATATATATATATATTATTTTTATAATCTGAATTTGTTTTTTTAATTGCTATAGAACTCGGTTGATTACCGGGATTTGAGTATTCCATTCTCGTGGTTGGTATTTAATGAAAAGATCAAAGTGAACTCTGTTTTTATCCAGGATACGAATGTTGTTTCCGATTCCGTCTTGCTACTGTTTGGTGGAAGCATCTCAAAAGGTGATATAGTAAGTCTATTACCTTTTCTTATTCCATTCGTTTATGATTCCATTCCATTCCATGATATGAAACAGTCAAACAGGATGGGCACTTGAAAATGTTGGGAGGATACTTGGAGTTCTTCATGGAACCTTCATTGGCTGAAATGTATCTCAACTTAAGAAAAGAGCTCGATGAGTTATTCCAGTATAAAGTAATTAATGTATCCTCTCTTATTCATAATTTTTCACTTTCAGTCCTCCAAGAATTTACTTTTGTCAACAAATTTTCATGTCAGCTATTGAATCCCAAATTGGATTTACCGAACAAGCCAGTTGACAAACAACAGTTTCAGTCAGTTTGTGAATTCAGTGGCTTTTCTGTTAGTTTTTTTTTTTTTTTTTTTTTTTTTTTGAGATGATTGAAAAAGA